TAATAATAATAATAATAATAATAATAATAATAATAATAATAATAATAATAATAATAATAATAATAATAATAATAATAATAATAATAATAATAATATTCAGACTTGAAAAGACTTTAAAATAACGAAATAATTCGTCATGGATATGTAATAAAAAAAAAAGTGGCGCTTCAGTCTTGGCATTGATTTGCTCCTTTGCCGTTTTGGTCGTTGACATTGCTGTTGCCGTTTTGGTAATTATCATTGCCGTTTTGGTTTTTTTGCCGTTTTGGTCATTGCCGTCTTGGTCATGGCATTTTGTGGTTGTTGCCGTTTTGTCCAGAAACCCACACTATACTACAGGTAAGGTGCAAATAAGATTTGTTGGTTTTCATATTTAAAATAAATAGAAACCTCATTTGATAAAGAGTTTACAGGTACTTAGCTTCGTTTGCATCTGAGACTGTGCCCTTGTGATGATAAGCCTATCACACTCAATTAATTCAAATGCTGGGCAAGGTCTCGTCTTGTTGTAAACACAAATTTTTGAACATGGTATATACTGTAATATTCGGTGGATTATTAGACTTCAATTAGAAATGTAAATGTTTTTAAATAACAGTGTTTGTTCTTACTTTTTAAGCCCGTATACTGTGGATTCATTAGAATCGGAAGAGGATACGTATAATGTATTCTGATTTTTTTTTTTTTTTTTTTTTTTTTTTTTTAACACAAACAAATTTTAAAATGTAGTGAAAGCCCCACCACCCTACTCATATCCACCACTGGATCCTCCCTTGATATTTGTTCATTTTGTTTATTCCGATCTTTTCGTTTTCAGCCTAGGCCTCTTATTTTAATTGGCCCTATTTTCAATACATTCTACGAACTATAATAGGCCTACATGTCTGTGTGAATCATTTTGTAGATTTCCTCGTTTAAATTTGCTTTGACCATTTGCATTATTATAATATCATTACAGTTTAGCCTCCCCTATCCAATTGCTTAAAATTAAGGAAAATATTCGAACATGCGCGGGAAAATCCCATTGGAATTCAAGTCCAAATTAACGACTCGGCCATCACAGCTGTACATACAAATTAATATATAGAAGAATCTCTTTTCGTTTGCTTTTGTTTGAATAAATTTCGTTAGTCTAGATAAGGTACTTCTGTTAAATATGTGATTAATTCCGAATTCCTACAGTCAGTGAGTATGCATTTAACTATTTCAAAAATTGCTCGTTGGTCTAGTGGCATGATTCTCGCTTTGGGTGCGAGAGGCCCCTGGGTCAATTCCTGGACGAGAATCACTTTTTTTAAAACTAGACTCAAAATGTTCTTATTTTGTTCTTATTCTTACACACTTTTCAAACATAGAAAATTTATATTGTACAGCATTATATTACTGTATTGTATTATAAAGGGTATTATATAGTCCTACTACAAGTAAGGACGCCCCAGCCCACCCCACATCCACCACTGGATACACCCTTGTTGATAATTGGTCATTTTTGTTTATTAGATAGATGACGCTTGGTTACCAATTCAATATTATATTGTACTACAGGCTGTTCCATGAGGTACTTCCTCAGTCGTCAGGTGCTAGGCTCTGAATCTGAATTTAGCTCATCTATAATACCCGATTCACACGTGAAGTTAAATTTAACCAAAAGTAACTGTAACCGAACCATCTCCCGAGTTATTCCTACCGAGATATAAAGCATTCACACGCGTCTGTAAGGTAATGCCAAGGTCGTGTAAAATTTATTCAGTGTTTATTCAATGAATCATTTTTGCCCCTACTGCGATATAGGCCTAGCCTATGCCTAGTTGAGAACCCCTGTCACAGATGGATAGTTGAATTAAGGTGCTACTGTACTTTATTTCGTTATCAGGAGAGTTTCTTAAATGCGTGGTTAATTCCTAAAGAGAAGTATGCATTTAAGTTATTCAAGGAAGGCTCGTTTGTCTAGTGGCATGGTTCTTGTTTTGGGTGCGAGAGGCCCCGGGTTCAATTCCAGTACGAGCACCATTATTTTATTTTTAAATAGACTTTATAATTAAAATGTACGGTAAATTATATATATTCTTTTACACAGCGTACGGTATACTAGGAATAGCAAAAGAGCATTAAACAGAAGAATAGTGTAAATAACAGATTCAATAGACCTATTCATGAGTTACATTTTTTTGAATAACAACAAAAAAACTTAACAGTTTTGAGGTTAACATTCAAACATCTTCACAAGTTTTCAGATTATATTTGGAGCCC